TTTCACCGGAAAAATAGATACGCGCTATACACCAAACGTATTTCCTTCCATTTACCGTAACAGTGATTGATGAAAAACGCGATGTACAGTAATGTCTCCCTAACTGACGCTCAGATTCTGCAGAAAAATGGACACTTTGGGAAGAGGAGATACGATTGTTCGAGCCTCGCAGCTCGTTTTTTATAGTCGTCGACAATTCGTGACTGTAAAAATGAAACGCAACGATCGTATCTTCGTAACTTCTCTTCCTAAATTGTCCGTTTTTGTGGACAATCTGAGCGTCGATTAGACAGACATTGCTGCACTTTTGTTGCCGGTGCGTTGCAATTTGCATGTAATTAGGCTGCGCGCGATATCGACTATCGAGGAGTATTTGTAATTCTGTAATTGTTCTTCGCGTTAAATTTAATCTGGCTCGTTGGCGGAAATAGGTTAATGTCGTTGATAAAACAGGAGGGACGTCTTCGCGAAATTAAATATCGCGAAGGAGAGTTCGCATTGATCCGTCGAATTACGGATCGTTGATCGCGTGCCTCCGTTATTAATGAACCCCATGCAAGCTCGAACGCGTACGGCCGCGGGTATCGCGAATCCTGATTAGCTTGTTGTCAACGGAGCCTTTCGCTAAATTGATCTCGTTAATTGGAACGCGTTTCCCTCGTGCCGAAGAAATGCAACGTGTATCAACGAATCGGACTTGTTTTCGGGCTTCGACGAATCAATCGGTTCGCCGCTAAATCATTCTGCGCGCGATCTCCCTTTCGGTAAATACATTTTCAAAGAAAGACTCCTTTACAAAACGCGTGTTACGCAACATATTATTATGCATCTCTGCTCGACGAGAGCTTGAAAAGATAATGGGTTCACCGATGACTCGCGCGATCCGTTGCACGTTGTGCAACGATTATTTACTTCGTTATTCGACTATCTGCCGTTAATAAAAATCGATCGGTCGACTCCTCCGCGGAGCTGGAATATATTGCAACGTAACGCAGCATTTTTCCGATCGACCGATTATCGCGCAGGGAACGCGTTATACGTCAACGATATCGAACGCATTAGGCCGAGCATAATTATCCTGCCGTTAGAAGTTCGGAGAGCGTTCGGATATTAAATCGCACGCTTCGATATTAAAGCGTCAGTTTTAGTGGATGTATACCTCTAAAACTAATATACGTATATGGCTTTTCTTCTATATGCGTGGGTTGTCATAGTGTGCGGTAGGCCCGCGGGTTAAATATTATCGACTGCGATGAAAATTCTTGATTGGTCGTTAACTCGACCGGCTGATTTCAAGTTCGCGGGCCGCGTAGTCGCGCGTGGCCGCCGCTGCAACAATCCAGCCCAGGATTTCATCATGCGTCATACGATTCCTGCCAACGATTACACGCTCGCCGGGGCGTCTTCGCGCGCGAACGCCGCACCTAAACCGCAAACGTGGACTTCGATAACGCTGGAATTTTTTCTTCGAAGGTAAAAGAAGCGCACGACCAGATAACACGGCGCTGCCTGCGCCCAACCTATTTCAGGGTTTCGATCGAGTTCGAGTTGCGATTGAACCGATAAAACGTTTGAAACGTAGGTTATCGTATCGTTCGCGAGAGATACAGGCGAAAAGTCGATATCCCTCGATAAAGGCTTCCGAAAACGTATCTCCATGCCCGTTATCCTAATAAGAACAATAATAATAATAATATTTCCTTCGAATTTTCAAGAACAATAATAATAACAATAACAATAACAATAATAATAACAATAATAATACTAACAACAACAACAATAATAATAACAATAATAATAATAATAATAATAATATTTCCTTCGAATTTTCTCTTTCCCCAAAATACGCGTGGTTTCCACAATTCAGCCGGATCAATCAACGTAGTCGACGAGAAACCGAAATCGTTCGAAACCGTAAGAAATACTTGCCGCGAACGAATCTTCGTTTTCCAACGGGCAGCTCTCCACGAAGCGTTTGAACAGCGTGTCCGGGCGTCAGCGTCTCTCAAACACCGGAAGCGGTCGAGCCAAATCGGACCGATAGCCTCCGATTTGCAGGAAAGCGTCGCGAGACGCGGCGGCGAATCTCCGAGCAACGAGATAACGTTGTTTGGCGGCGAGAAAATCTAAACAAATTTGTTCGTCGATCGGTAGGTGAGAAACCGATAGGAGGAAGGCTCCGTCTATACGAACGGGAATTTTCGAAACTTGAAACAGAAGAAAGAAAAGCGATCGTCATCGATCAAGCACGGCGTTCGACCTCTGGCGGTCGCATAGCGAATCATAGCGGACACTCTTCCGGGGACAAAAACTCGCGTTTATTCTTGCCCGGCGTGGTTCCTCGAGTCAGTCTCGTTCGGTCCGTGGTCGTGTGGCGTAGCACGGTCGGGTACCTGTCTGCGTTGGCGCGTTGATGCCATTTGGGTCGTTGTCGCGCTGGTGCTCGTACCTGGGACACGTCGAGACCCCTTTTTGGAAAACGGATCTTGCCGCGAGAGCTCTATCCGTTGGCCAACCAGCGTACAGGCGGCGTTCGCTAAGGGATGAAGTAACGTCGCACGAGACAGGATCGATCGTACCCACGTTGCTTTCGTTTTCACTCCGCCGCACGTGCGCAGACCATAGGTACGTACGCGCGTTCCCAAATTTACGAGTCGAAATCCATTATTAGACAATTAGACACCGTCTGGCACTATTTCAAGGCGCCTAGTCGAATCGCGTTCCCGATTTTCATTGGAAAACAAACGAGAGACGCTACGCCGATTCGGATCGACTCACCGTGTCCGTGCACGCGTTACACGTGTGCACGTAAACGTACACGAATTCGACTCGGGACCAACGTCCGCCTGTCCAGACGATCGCGACTCGGACAATCGATCCGAAGATCGAATTTCGGGTTTTACGAGCGCGAGCTTGGCGCGCGCCGTGCCGAGCTTTTTAACGGAAGAACGAAACGTTCGCGTTGGAAATATTTTGAGAACGACGCGTAATAACGATGCGCGGAGGTTTAGCGATTATATTTTAGTATTCCGACTTTGTCTCTGCGACGCGTCGTTGCGTCGGTTTCATTGATAAAAAGCACAGCGGACCGCGTACTCGCGTCTTCGAACAACCGGAATACCACCGTTGCGTCCTCGTGTAGTCCACGACTTCGATCTACGTATTTTTTTCGTGTCTTCTTCCGAATCTCAACGATCGCGTGGGTATTTTAAGGATTCGCTTCACGCGTGGCCAACCTTCTGCGTTGGAGCGTTCCCGTGTCCCGTTCCAACCTACACCTACTACACCGTTAAACCCCTCGTCGTTCACGCTGGTGCACATGGTGCATCGACAACGTCGAAAAGTTCTATTATAAAAATACGAAAGAACAGGGGAAACTTTTTTTTATGCTACAAAAATTTTGCACATTCTAATCAACGCTAATCCTACCACGGTAAAAATGACCGATTCTTTGTTTTACGATACTATAAACTTTGGAGACCTCATCGTGAAAAATCATCGAGCAAATTATATCATTAAACAAAAATTATATTATTAATCATTATATTAACAAGTCTCATAATTAAAACTTTACAAAATCCAAGAGAATTCTATCTTTTCACTCTTACGAGTCGATGCACGCTAATCGTCGTTACAGGTCGGTTGATTTAGCGTTAATAACATTTTTTACGGAAAAATTTCTGTATCCACGGAAGAGTTGTACCATGAGAAAAAAAGAAGTTAAAAAATGATTTCGTACGAAGAAATATTATTACGTGTATTACGGAATGTCGATATTAATTGTTAATGTAGTGTGTAATGGTAGACGCGTTTTTCTTATCTCGGTGGCCACAACGGTTTCAAGAGGGGAGCAGAGACGATTTTCGAGACAAGATAGCGCGCGATTCCATAGAAATTCAACTTGCTCGACTCGCGAGTGAAATCGCTAATATTCCTATAGCTTACTTTTACGATCCACCGTCTTCGAAAAATCTTTCTAACCTAACTTTCAAATTTTTCAAACGGTTTACCTTCGTTTTTTCCTCGGAATGTACGATTCTCGAACCTATCCAACAACCAACTAGATGGACGGTTAAATTAAAATAACGGTTGCACAAAAATATATAATATATATTGTAACGACCGAACTGGAAAATATATTATATATCATAATATATTATTATAATATATGTATAATATATTATTATAATATATGTATAATATATTGTCCAGTTCGGTCGTTACAACGAAACACGATCGAGTACATTGTATAAATATTCAAATTAACGGTAATCTCGTAGGCCGATACTCTTATCGAAAACGCGTTACAAACATACACGGTATATACGTCACCTTGAAAACGATAGAAGTCGCTTGAAGTTGCGTTCGCGACGCGACAGGCTTGTCGAGCGTACCGTAGTCGGCAAATTTGTTAACCTAAAAACGAATTTCCGTGACTACTTTGCGCAAGTGTTCACGGTTTACTCGGTCGGTTCGAACGCGGGAATACCGCGTCGTGGTCGTAGACGACGATGTCGCTGCGAGAAACGAGGATATCTCCGGGATTTCCTGCGAGATGTAATAACACCGTGTGTACGCTGAACGCGAATCGTACACGAGACATCCGAGGTGCGTGTTTCGTCAGAAAAGTCAGTCACGCCGCCGCTCGAGCACGTGGAGCGCCAAGTTTGTGTGTGGTCGCGACTTGTATGGCTCGCGACGATCGTTGGTTCGCGCGCGCGTACCATCGGATGATGCAACTTAACATCGATATTTCGGACCCGCGCATTCGAACCGTGTTCGTTTCGCGGTGGCTAGACTCGCGTCGAACGCGTTCGTGGAGATCGGCGATAAGATTCGCTCGTAAAACTTTGAAAACGGATCGGCATCGTATCAGCAGTTATATTAGGTCTACCGAAAAGTTCTGTCCGATAGTGTCACTTCGAGTTTCAATCCATATGCACATGTTGATTTGAGACACATACGACTAACTCTCTTTATCATTGCATTTACACACACGTACTCTCCTAAATAAACTGAAAGAAAGATGTCTCGTGTCATTATTAAGCGAGACGCGATCGTGAAAACACGGCTACCGATGATAATGCCAGACCACATGCTGCTTTGGCGACTCGTCAGAAAATCGCAGAGCTAGGCTGGCAAATTCTGTCGCATCCACCATACTCCCCAGACCCAGCACCCTCCGATTATCACTCGTTTCTCTCTTTGCAAAACTTTTAACAGGAAAAAAATTTCAAAACTGAAGCTGAGGTCAACCAAACACAAGTCGAGTTCTTCGCCTCTAAAAATAAATCATTTTTTAAAAATGGCATTTACAAGTTGCCATCGCGCTGGCAAGAAGTCATAAGTAACGATGGAAAGTATATTCTACAATAAATATTATTAAATCTATGAAAATTGTGTTATATTTCAATTCAAAAACGGACAGAACTCTCCGGTAGACCTAATATTAGGTTGGAAACTATGAAACGGACGTTTTCGTTTATAGTCCGTGTTCGGCTGCGACTGCGTTCATCGTAATGCGCGTTCGATATTTTTATTTATAAATTTTCAAGGTATTCTTCTTACTCGTTTCGTAAAATTTTTCTCGCTATTTTTTATTTGATTTTTCTCCGAAACCAGATGGAAACGAAACGCGATTTACATCATTCAACGGCCGTTTCATAGTTTCCAACCTAATACATCATTTATAACGCGTACTGTGTATACGCATAGATGTTCAGCTTTTATTCGTACAACACGCGCCATTATGACTAACGATGTACGCGTTGTACGCAAGAGACAAAGTTGCAGCGTAGAGAGCGAAGAGCGACTACATAACCTGTTCGATGTTGCCTCGGCCGCTCTCGCGGCTACGCATAGGGGTGAATAATAAACAACCTTCTCTCAGGGACTACGCAATGTCAAATTCAAAATAGCCGGGTTAATTATATTTGTACTTGTTGACGATTCGTTTAACCCTTTACAGGCGGAACGGTAGCAGGGATCGAAATTATCTTCAGTGGACTTCTTTTTAATTCGACGATCGCGAAGATATTTATCGTATCGTTTCAAAATCATAGTTGGCAACTCGAATCGTTTCGGCCTGTATCTCTAGCCAATAACCGAGTTTATGGCAACTCCTTCCATTTTTCGACAACCAATACGACTGTCGGGAAACATTGAACGACCGAGCAAAAGTTGTTTACACAAAGATCTTATCGATCTTTCTGGCACACCCTGTACACGTATCTTCGTTCGTTGCACCGCGCGACGACACGGAACACAGAAATCGATTTCCTTGTAATTACGAATTCAGCTTGTTCTCCTCCGAATAACAGCGCGAGCGTGTAGCATGTTCGCGCGTCTCCACCGTTGTGGTTTTCAACAAGTTTTTGAAACACGCTCGGGAAGGGCAACACCCGAATTAGCGAATTCCTGCGGTAAGCTTCCGAATGCTGTGTTCGAAAGTTTTCCGTTCTCGTATTATCGGTCGGCCCATCGAAGGAGGAAAGTCGGCAAAGGTTAAACGGAAGCAAGTTGCAGCGCGATAAATTGCATCGTACGATCGACGTTAACGGATGAACCGAATGTTTAACAATATGCCGTCCGCAGATCTTAGATATGATGAAGATCTTAGATGATGATCTTAGATATGAAAAAGAAACTTTAGCCTCGGACAAAAATTAATCTATAGTTTACTTAGGACTGAGATTCGAAAATATCAGATTACGTTGCCGCCGGTTCCGTCAACGCGCACCGACGGTCATGTAAACTGTACATCAAAGATACCGCCATATACCATCGCCGGTGTTGTTAGAACACATCGTGCTCTGACTGTTAGCGATCCCAGTACCGCGTATACAATGTAAGACGGCGATGAATGACCGTCTTCAATCGGTGGTGAAGACCACACCAAAAAGGGTATATGGGTGTCCCAAAAATGTCTCGCAATCCGAAAGTGGCGGGTTCCTCGGGTCTTTCGAAGCAACTTTTTCCTTTACAAAAATGTTCTCCGAGGCACCGTTAACGAGATATATAACGATTAGCGAAAAACAGTGACCAATGAGAGGCGAGCTCGAGGCGACCGAGCCAATGAGCGGAACTGGACTTCGTGCGCTGGGCCGCCTCGCGTCAGCCGTACTCGATTCTTATTGGTCACTGCTTTTCGTTAATAACTCGTTAACGGTGCCTCGGAGAACATTTTTGTAAAGGAAGAAGCTGCTTCGAATGACCCGAGGAACCCGACACCCTGTATAAGCAGACGATTTTCAGTCGCCGCTCTCTCAGTTGAATTTGGTCGCTCAGTCATTTCGTACATATACCTTCTCTCAAATAAAAGTAAAAATAAAACTTCTAAGAAAAAGAATTAATATCATATTCATTTGAGAAATAATCCAGCCCATAATCCTAATACCGGCGTAATAGCATGGAAATTTTAGATTTAAACAAAATTTCGAAGACGGCGGTAATATAAATTCTTAAAATTAAGATGAGTCATCCAAGAATTTTCGTATTCGATTCTTAGTTGAATAAGCACGATGCATTTTTTTCAAAATTCCACTACCGACCGTCGCTGGAAAAAAATACAGGCCTGGAAGAATAGCGATAAAATTGATCGAAGTACATCTCTAATTTGCCTCGTT